CGTTTTTGAAAGTTTAAAGGCCATTTTACTTGCTTTTGTAGATTATCTGCTTGTGTCCTATGCCATTTTTCTATCTGGTTTTTGAAAGAATTATCAGAAAGAATTTGCATCTTTCTGATGATGAGTCTTCTACCTAGGTACAAAAGCTGTCTTTCTACCTGGTTAAGTAAACTTCTAGGTCTTTCAGGAGCTTTTTATATTATCTCATAGGTTTTGCACATTTCTTGTCAAGTGTATTCAGAAGTATTTTATCTTCTTTGTTACTGTTATGAATTGGGTTTTCCTCTCTCATCAAAACCTCTTTGTGATTATCATGTGTGTATATGAGGGCTATTGGTTTCTGTGTATTAATTTTGTATCCTGCTACTTTAAAAAATATTTCTATTTTTGAGTTAATCTTGTCATTGATTTTCTTGGGTTTTCCAGGTATACCTGTCAGATATTTGCAAATAGAGATCGCTTTGCTTCCTTTCCTATTGGTTGTCTCTAATTGATTCCTCTTGTTGAATTGAATGAATTAATACTTCTAGTACAATGTTACCTTGTTCCTGATCTTAGTGAAAATGCTTTTAAGACTTCCTTTTGGGATGCCTCGGTGGCTCAGTCAGTTAGCATCCGACTCTTGATTTTGGCTCAGGTCATGATCTCACATTTCGTGAGATTGAACCCCATGTCGTTGGGCTCTGCACTCACAGCACAGAGCCTGCTTGGGATTCTTTCTCTCCATCTGCCTCTGCCCCTCCTTCTCTCTCTCTCACTCTCTCTCTCTCTCAAAAACAAATAAACTTTAAAAAAATATTTTTTAAAAAATTCCCTATTGAGAGGACAGATTTTAGGACTAAGTTAATACATTTTTGTCATGTTAAGGAAATAGCCATTGACTTTTTTCTTTTCTTTTTTTTTTTAGTGTTTTATTGCTAATGAATGTTGAATTTGTCAAAAGCCTTTTCAGCATCAATGGAGATGCTCAAATAATTTTCTCTGTAGATCTTCCAATAGGATATACTATATTAATGGATGGGCTATGAATGAACCAACCTTTCATTCCTAGAGTAAATTCTACTAGGTTATCATGTGTTATATTCTTAATATAATATTGATTTCTATGCTTTGAAACAATTCATACAGCATTCAGATTCTCTTTTCCTTGAAGGCTTGATAAAATTCTCCTGTGAAACCATGTGGACCTGGTGCATCTTTGAGGATAGTTTCTTAATAATCTTTCTTTCCCTTCTTTGGAAATTGCTTTATCTAAGCTTTCTATTTCTATTGGGTCAATTTCAATAAACTGCATTTTCCTGGGCAATTACCTGTTTCATCTGGGTTTTCTAATTTATTTGCTTTAAGGTCTGCAAAGTAGTCTCTCTCATGCTTTGAGTTTTGTATATTTCAATGATTATTTCTCCCTTGTGATTTTTTTTATTTTGTGTATTTGAATTTTCTCCCCTTTGTCTCAACTAGTTAAACTAGTGATCGTCTGCTTTGACGCTTCTTTAAAGAAACAGGATTTTGGGGCGCCTGGGTGGCGCAGTCGGTTAAGCGGCCGACTTCAGCCAGGTCACGATCTCGCGGTCCGTGAGTTCGAGCCCCGCGTCGGGCTCTGGGCTGATGGCTCAGAGCCTGGAGCCTGTTTCCGATTCTGTGTCTCCCTCTCTCTCTGCCCCTCCCCCGTTCATGCTCTGTCTCTCTCTGTCCCAAAAAAATAAATAAACGTTAAAAAAAAAAAAAATTAAAAAAAAAAAGAAACAGGATTTTGATTTATTAATGAGATATGTCATTCTTCTGTTCTCTACCTCATTAGTTTTTGCTTTCACCTTTATTATTTCCTTCCTGGTGCTTTCTTTTGATTTATATTGTTCTTTCCCCAGCTTTCTGAGTTTTGAGTTTGATTGATTTATTTTTTCGTGATAAAAGTGTTTAAGGCTATGAATGCTTAAAATGACACATAAGTGTCACGCTTGATGCATCATAAGTTCTAATACATAGTGTTTTCATGATGGTTTTTTTAAGTTTATTTATTTTGAAAGAGAGAGGAAGTGAGCACAAGCAGGGGAGGGGCAGAGAGATTGGGAGAGAGAGACAGACACAGAGAGAGAGAAAATTCCAGGCAGAGCCAGACACAGGGCTCAAACTCACAAACCATGAGATCCTGATCTGAACTGAAATCCAGAGTCAGACACTTAACCGACTGAGCCACCAGGCACCCCGTTATCATTTTATTTTATTTTATTTCATTTTATTTTATTTTATTTCATTTTATTTTACTTTATATTTTATTTTACTTTATTTTATTTTTAATATGATTTATTGTCAAGTTAGCTAACATACAGTGTATACAGTGTGCTGTTGGTTTTGGGGGTAGATTCCCGTGGTTCATCGCTTACGTTCAACACCCAGTGCACATCCCAACTAGTGCCCTCCTCAATGCCCATCACCCGTTTTCCCCTCTCCCCCGCCCCCCCATTATCATTTTTTAAATTCTGCACTTTTAGCTTTGTATTTTCCTTTTCACCCAGATGATGTTTGTCAGCTTCCAGATGAAAGAGCTCTCTTGCTGTTTTAATTTTATTAATTTCTAGTTTCATTGTATTATATCAAAGCGTTGTTTGTAATATTTCTATTTTATGCAACTTCCTGATGCATTTTTCCGTGACCTAACACATAATCAAATAATGTGAATTTCTGTGTGTGTTCGACAAGGTATAACCTCTATCCTCGGAGTATACTGTTGGATACATTTGCATGAGAATTACCTGATTGATTATATATTAAGGTCTTCCAGATTCTTATTTATTTTTTGTCCATTTGGCCTCTCTTAGATTGAGTATCACTTATTATTATGTCTTTGCGTATTTCACTTTGCATCTTCTACAGGAAGTTTCTTCTAAATTTATAAAGGTGTTGCCCTTTATCCCCCCTCTTTGAAACTTTGTAGGGTTTGTATTTTTGTCCTCTTGGTTGTCTTTGATCTTAAATGTTGGTAACGCCCTTAGTTCCTGCTTCTTACTTAATCTTTTATTATCAGTGGTCGGTTTTTAGTGTTGTTCTTTGACTTCCAACTATTATTAGCTCTACCCTCAATGAGCTTCTTCTCTTTCAGTTTTTCTATCTTTCCTCCCGTGTTGAGTCACATTATTTTTACTTTGTCATAGAAAACGTATATATTATCTTTTGACCCTTCTACCTTTATTGTATCCTAAATCTGATAAATGTATTAAATGCTCACCATCAACCCTTTTGCTGAAATTTCTCCGGTGATTTCTTGGTTGGATGTGAAGACTACTTACTCCAGATGAGCTGATATGTACAGTATTACCTGTGTTCCTACAATTTATTTCTGGAACTTTTTCTGTAGCCTTGATACTTGAAGAAGAGCTTGAATGGTTGTGAGATCCTTGATTCGTACTTGAATTTCTGACTTGAGATGGCTTTTCACATCCTGGGGTACTTGATGGAAAACACGCCGTTTACTTGGCAGCATTGTGTTGTGGTTCTTTCCACTTTATGGTCACTTTGGGCAGGGTGTTGGGCATTTTCATAAGATAATAGGTTTTGTTATTCTTATTTTCTATTTTATGATAATTTTGTATAGATTTAGGCCGTTTTTATCAATCTCCTGGATTTCAAGTATTTATAAGATTTCTAGTTTAAGAGGCTCCTTTCTAGCATGTGTAACCAAATATACGTTCTTTTTACTTTTTTATGTTATTATTATTTGGGAGTGGGAGTTGGGGAGGTTGTGTGTCTTCCAATTTTTTCCTTCTCTTTTTTCTTACAGGATCTGAAATCCACCCCCCCCCCCCCCCCCCGCCTCTTTCGCTGCCTTTTTTCTTTTATCACCCAGTTTCCAAAGGATGTTCCTTCTTGCTCTGTGTCCTTGTCTCCCTGCCGCACTGCAGCCTCGATTCGCGCCCACTTGGGTCTCTTCCTCGTCTCCACCGCAGCTTTTACCGGGACTTTTACAGTCTTTCCTACTTCAGGTTGACACTCTTTCCGGCGATGGTTTCAACTCAGCTCTTGGCTGCAACCTCATTTCCTTCTTCTCTCATCGCTACTGTTTTCCCAGGGCTCGTGCCCAAAGTGCGGCGTATAGGTCTGTTGACATTTGGTATTAACTTTTTTTTTTTACTTACAGGTGGTTCGAAGAGTACCTCATTTTTGATCTTTTAGTGATACGAAGAGTGTGGGTTTTGTGCAGTTTTTCTTATTGTCCCTGGTGATCCGTATTGCTTTGTGGCCAGTTCATCACATTAATCCAGGCTGCCTCTTTCTAAATGGTACTCAGACACAACAAGAGAAAAGATGCTATTTTCCACAAGACTGTAGTCACGTTGGTGATGTAAAAAGATCTGAGAGAGGAAAAATTGGGGGCATTCTTTGTATACTATGAAAACCACCCAAAGATCATTTTATCTAGATATAGATATTTTAGGGGGAAAAAAACGAATCAAAAACAGATTCAAACATTGGATTCCAAGAGTTTAATTGCTTCCATGTTTGTTTTTATACTGAGTGCCAGGGAGCATACAAATATCGTCCTAAGCATCACCTATTCCATGAAAACACTTTCAAACTCATCATTCACCCAGCAACCCTGTAGGTAGTAAAGGTTCTATCACACAACTATTCCCACATCTGACAGATGAGGGAGCAAGACTCAGAGAGCCTCGCTCACATGATGTCCCAGTTGCAGAGTTGACTTGAGTAGAGCCGGGAGTGAAATGTAAGCCTCCTGACTGATGGTGCTGTGCATTTCCGGCACTAACCACGCCTCGTCATGGAAGTTTGCATGTGTTTGAGCCTCTTTCTAATTTTTTGGTATTGTTCAATCGCTTCTGTAACCTAAGGCCACTCCTTCATAACGAATTACCAGGGGAAGATACTCTTTAGCACTGTATTTCAAATTGATTTGCCTTGGTAAAAAACAATGTAAGTTGCTTGTCCAGTAAGTGGGAAATCCTTTCTCCACTAACGATCCACCTTTGTCTCTCTTTTCACAGAGGACAGTTATGGGATGGATGGGAAGGCTAACCAGCCCAGCCTCGCTGCAGACGTCAACTGGCAAGGCCTGGAAGATTTATACAGTGTGAATGAAAGCATCTATGAGTACAGACAAAACTATAGACTTAGTCTGGTTGACTGGACTAATTACTTGAAGGATGTAGATAGAGTATTTGCACTGCTGAACAGCCACCATGAGCAAAATAAAACAAATAAGACTAAAACTGCTCAAAGCGATGGGTTCCCAGGTGGATCTGCTGAGCTCTCCGTGCCAGTAGAGATGGCCTCCGCGGAGTCAGATGATGACCCGAGTTGGATGGTTGGGGAAGCACCTCACGTGACCTTGCCAGCTGACCTTCGAACCCTGCATTTGAACCAACCAACATTCAGTCCAGAGACGAAACTTGAATGGAATAACGACATTCCAGAAGTTAGTCGTTTGAATTCTGAACACTGGAGAAATCATAAAACTGAAAAATGGATGGAGCACGAAGAGATAAATCATCCCGAAACTGATTTCAGTGGCAACGGCATCCCAGAGCTGGTGCTCAAGCCCAGGCCTAGGCTGCAGCCCATTAGCAGGCAGCAGAAAGGACTTCCCCGGGTTGGTGGCCCAGGAGGTGTTTTTGAAGATCAGCTGTATCTTCCTGTGCATTCTGATGTTGATTCTGTTCATCGGACGATCAATACGTCTGCCCTGGAGCAGCCTATTAACTCCAGCAGCGTGAAAAGGATATTGGACAAGGTGAAGAATCACGAGACAGGCAGCTTACAGAGTCTAGAAGGCAGTGCCTCCTTTCCACTCTCCTCGGATTAGATGAAATTGTTACCTGACCCTAAACACAGTATTTTTTTAACTTTTTATTAGTAAACTAATAAAGGCAATCATGACAGCCAACATTCCGAGCTATCCTAGATACACATGTGCGAAGTTGGCATAGAAGTTAGCACACAGGCGAGCGGTAGGCACACAGGGATGCGGTGTTGTAACTCCCTATTTGTCAAGAGTAGAAATAAAGGTTGATTTGTGTTTATTTGGGGGAGATTAAAGCAGTATTATCTTTTGAAAGCCATAGGGACATGCCTATATGAATGTTACCCAATCAAGATGGCTAGAATTGTATCTCTCTGAGTTTCTAAAACTTGACATCCTCCGTGAATCTTTCAACCTGCGTCCCACTGCCTGCATCATGTGGTTTTGATTCCTTTTTAACCACTGGAATTTTTCAGTGCCATCACGTTCAATGATTTTGCACTTTGAGATCAGATTGCCATGTCTATTTGGTTAGTCTTTTTTTTCTTGCCAGAGGCTTTTCCTAGTCTCACTGCTTGCTCTCAGTGTGACCGTGGAGAGCAGACCCCAAGAATGACACACAGTATGGATCACATATTGTCTAGCGTAAGCTCTTGCCAGAAAATATTGCATGCTTTTTCCTTGACTTGCTAAAATTGATTAGCAGAAAGGCATGGCTAACGATGTTGGCAGTGAAAATAAATAAATCAACAAAACAAAGATCGCTTGCTCTCTCTGTGCCTAGCCTCAAAGTGTTCATCATATGCTTAAGATTGCTAAATTTTTGTTATTTTATTAGCAGGATAAAAGGACTGAAGACTTTTTTTGTCATCTTGGTTTTCTTGACCTGGCTAATAAGCTAAAGTGTTGAGAAAATATACTTAGTTTTGAATTTATATAAGGAATCTTTTTCAATAAAACACACCCATGAATGTTTCATATTTTAAACACACCATAGGTGTTGTATGATTATTTTTAAGGCCTTCACCAAGTTCGGATTTTTTTTAAAGGCGTAATTCAAGACTGCTTTTGAAATTCTGTATTCTTGAAAATATTCTTGTTATGTATTAGATTTTTAAATATCAGCAAAAGGATTACCTCATCGAGAGTTATCAGTACCCTAGCCAACTTCCCAAACAGGTTTATTTTTTAGCGTAACAGTGATTTTCTTTTTATTTTTAGACCATTCAAATGCATAGGTAAATTATGTTTTCTTCAAGTGTTTAAGGTAAACTCTTTTAAAGAAAATTTAATATGTTATAGTTGAATCTTTGATAACTTTAAGTCTTTATCATAGACTCTGTACATATGTTAAAATTAGCTCTTTATCAGATGTGTGTGTCACCAGCTGAATGACAGAAGAAACATATTTATGGTCATGAATGATGTGCTTTGTAAAAAGATTTCAAGTTATTAGGAAGCATACTGTGTTTTTTAATCTTGTGTAATATTCTGTGATACTTTTATAGAACAATTCTGGCTTCGGGAAAGTCTAGAAGCAATATTTCTTCAAATAAAAGGTGTTTAAACTTTACCTGTTTCAGAGAAATGAGCTTTCCAACTTTTTGTGGTATACCCACTCTTTGCAAGTAAAATTGAGTCCTGATCTCAATTGACATGATTGAATATTAGCCATATCTGCAAAATTGCCCCAAAGTCAGTGGGTTCTAGAACATGCTCAGATCGATGATTCCAAAGTGGATTTGGCTCTGTGCTTCAGGGAGGATGTGAAAGAGGCCGCACAAGCGAGGCTTCCCCGCTGTGCAGCCTGGCCAGTGGCACAGAGTCAGAGCTTGGTTTAACTCTCTACTGTTGCCATCTTGAAATCTTTAATGATTTTTGAACAAGGAACCCCACCTTTCCATGTGTCACTGGACCCACAAATGATATAGCTGGCTCTGGGCAACACAAATGGAGTTTCTCAAAAGTGGGAGGACAGATCCACCAAAGGAAGTTTCAATTCATGGAGGACAGGACAGTGGACTCTGCTTTTTTTTTTTTTTTTTTTTTTTTTTTTTTATTTACTTTGAGAGAGACAGATAGTGTGCAAGCAGGGAAAGAGGAGAGAGTGGGGGGCGGGGGGAGAGAGAATCGCAAGCAGGCTCCACACTGTCAGCACAGAGCCCGATGCAGGACTTGAACACACAAACTGATATCATGACCTGAGCTGAAACCAAGAGTCGGATGCTTAACCGACTGAGCCACCCAGGCACCCTAAGGACCATGGACTTTGATCAAGACCTAACCAGTCTCCCATACCTCAAGTTTTTCCTGCCTAACCTAGACTTCTTTCTGATCCAGGTTTCCTGAAGCGCTTTCTCTTCTCGTGATATAGGGGCTGACAGTCTGTGAAATGTCCAAAGACCAGGAGGTTAATAGTAAAGGAGAAAAAAACAAAAGCAAAGGGCTTTTTGAGACCTGCTCCATCCTTAGGTAATTGAGGAAACCATCTGTATTAGTTTGCTAGCATCGCCATAACAAAATACCACAGACTGGGTGGCTTAAACAACAGAAACTTATTTTCTCACAGTTCTGGAGGCTGGAAGTCGAAGACCAAGGTGTGGGAGGCCTTGGTCTCTTCTGGAGCCCCTCTCCTTGGCTTTCAGATGGCCACCTTCTCCGTGTGTCCTCACGTGGCCTTTTCTCCGGGCATGTGTGTCCCTGGCATCTCTTTTTATGAATACACCAGTCATATCAGATTAGGGCCCACCCTTATGACATCATGTAACCTTAATCACCTCTTTAAAGTCCTTCTCTCCAAATACAGTCACCCTGGGGATTAGGGCTTCAATGCATGAATTTTGAGGGGACACGATGGAGTCCATAACACTATAGTTTCATTAAGAGGACAGCTCAAGATAATCGTGTTGTCCAAAGGCACATCATTTTGCCTCCCTCCTTGTTCCTTTCCTACAAAATGTGATGAGGCCAAGCGTCGCTATCCTGGGGAAACATCATTTTAGTTCAACAACTATTTATGGAGCACCTACTATGTGCAAAGGGCATGCAAGAGCCTTTCAGACTTTGAAGAGTGCCTAGAAATTGCCCAGCCTGCTGACCCTGTCTGATCTGTGAGGAGCTGATGCCCAGAGGGTCAGCTGGTTCTCCAACTGCCCATTTCCCACAGATTTAGAAGACGAAGACATTTACCAGAGGCAGGGCCAGCCCCTCTCCACTCTCTCCACTTAAATATGCTCACACACACACCAGATCAGGGAACAGAGAGGCCACAGTGTGACCCCATGTGGCAAAAAGTAGTGGAAAGAACATGAACGGACACAGATTCTAAAGTTTACTATCTGTATGAGCTGGGAAAAGTCGCATCACCTCTCCTTGACTGTAAAATAATTCCCTTTGATGGCAAATACATCACATATGTGCTTTCTCTTCCTAAAATATGCCCAGAGGAGACATTGTGAATTCATCAGAAAGCTCTTCCGTCCAGGCAGAGCACTTGAGCCCTTAAAATCCTCTCAATGCAGCCAGCTCCTGTCAACACCGTTGAGTTGGTACTGGAATGTGAGACAGAAACCGATTTGCTATATCCAAACTATCCACAGTATCTGAAGCTCCTCTCACCTGTCTTTAAAAAATTCAAATAAAAATCCCTATGGTCACTATCTGCGGGGTTCTGGGTTAGGAGAGAAGAAATGAATACTTAACACCTCATGCCACATGTACCAACACATGTTGGCCTTCTAAAAAGATTTTTAAATGCCTATTGTTCAGAACTAGCTTAGAGCTGATATGATCTCACATATAAGAAAGTCCTCAATTCCCCAAATTAATCCAATGCTGCTTGATATTAGTTGCACGATGTTTCCAAAACTTATTTTGAAAATATTTTTGAAGCTTTCAAAGTGTTATTTAGAAAATATTTGTGATATTTTCAAATTTTATTTTAACAGAAAACAAAAGATCTTAGAGCAATTCATTCCTCAATATGGTCCACCACCCTGGTTCATTTAAGCCCTCATGACCTCTTATAGAAGCTGCTGGAAAAGCTGTAATAGCACCCTGAGCCCCTTCCCCTCCACCTCCAACTCTACCACATCGCACAGTCACTGTCTGTCATCACATGGCTCAGATCTCAGCCTCCTGCTCAGATATCTTCAGTGGTTTTTAACACACACACACACACACACACACACACACACACAAAAGCATGGAGGTGCACGCGCGTGCCCCCAGAAGCTCCAGCCTTCCACCCACCCACCTGATCTCCTTCCACCTCACCTGTCACTACCAGCTTCCCCTGGATTAGCCACCCTCCCAGGTCTGAATTTTTCTCCAATTCCCCATCTACCCTCTTGGGGTAGATCTTCATTTCCTATCTCAACTGGCAAAAATTTCATCCATTCTTCAATTCCCATATTTTGTTTTCCCTTTTACCTTATCAAATTTTACCTTTTCTTTCCATGCAAACTCTCCTTGACTCTTCCACCCCTTGGACATAGTATCTCTACCATTTTTACTTTACTTTACGCCAAATAAGAAAACACTGATGTTGTACCAAGTCTCGAGCCAATGGAGGGAGAGTGGCCACATTCATAACTTTGCTATTTGCCCCATTTCTAACCAAGAAACCTATCTAATGCGACCATCGTTCATATTGGTCTAATTAACTCACCTTCCTCTGAGTTGTGTCGTCGATACTGAGGACTTTACCAGCACAGTACCGAGGGCCTTATAGGGAACCCACTAAAAGAAGTAGAGAAAATGACTTTCAAATAGCAGACATTTCCTGTTGACACCTAGGGAAGCCCCTGCTCCCTGATGTCCCAGAAAGCACCGCAGCAGGGGTGGGTGACAAAGGGAGCTGCAAACGTTGAGGTCTTTTGTGCTGAGCATTGCCTCACTTTTCTGCTAGCAAACGCAAGTGGCGGACAAAGGGATCTACCTTCTGTTTTGAACTTCTAGCCCCTACACCTGTGTGCCTCTCAGGACTCAGGAATTCAGAATCTGCATCTTCCTATCCACAGTCCTCTTCCCCATTACCCCACCTCCAGCCCATAGCACAGGTG